ATAGAACCAAGGGCTATCAAATCTCTATTCTTTTTATTCTCAATAATGACCCAGACAAAGGGCAAAGCCATTTCATTTCAATTTATCAGATTCTGATTCATCCGAGTCTACTCCAAGGGCCTAAAAAAAAGTTTGGGAATTTTTGTCGTTATGAATTTGTTCTAGCCTTCTTGTTTTTCCCGCATTGCACTTAGGAGTGGCCTATTGCTAGCTGAGGTGGAGCTAGATGGAAGAACATGAGACACAGTGCTTGATGAAAGAGACTTAGATGCAGGACGAGACGTAAGAGTAGATGGGCGAATCTGCATTTTAGAGCCAGCGGAAGACACATACATGTATATAGATCTGAAAGACATAGACACTAAAGGACCAGAGGTAGGTTGGACAAGTGCAAACGCGGATTAAGCGTTCACACTTGCAGATTTAGACGGATAAGGTGTAAACATTGATGGGCAATAGTGTCTGACGACAACTCTCCTTTCATTTGTAATCTAGGATTGTGTGCCCTGGTCTGTTTTCCTTTGATTTCATGCAGGCTGTGCCAGCTTCATCTCAATACCTCTGACCTTTTATATTCATTCCTGTAAAAGAATTTTCCTTTTTTATTCTGTTGTCTTTTATTTATTTCAATGTTTGTGTTTTTTAATAATGAACCTAATTGCATACTCAGTATTTACGAATTTTTATTGAATAATGTTTCTTAATTTTATGCTTTAAGACGGTTAAGTAATTACCAGTTTTGTCCCAAAAAGTCGAAGGCAGGGAAAACAGTTTAGTTTCTCTTTGCTAAATTAAATTTCTTTTCCTGTCGTAGCAAAAGGTAATATTTTATACTTGGGTATTGCTTTTTAAATATGTACATGTATGTACCTTATTAAAAAAAAGTAAAGTTCATTTTTTATAAAAAAAATTATTTAATTTCACTTGTATCAAGCAATTTCATTGGCTGAATCATTCAGAGGAACATATAATATTTTGTATAAGAAGGATATGGAGATAACGAACAGCATTCAATCTCAAAGTCCATAAAACAATACAAAATAAGAGCAGAGAAATATATTTGACGGACCCCCGAAACGTCAGAGGGGGGATCAGGTGCCATGGAGGATTGAGCATCCCCTGCCGACCGGTGACACTCGCCGTGTGCTCATTGTCATGATTAGGAAATAACGGAAACATCCGTCGTCAATTCAGTGTATAAACAAGCAAATTCAAAGAATTGTTGTCCCCCGCTTTCGGTGTCTTTGTGGATGAGATGTCATTTTTTATGATACATTGTGTCTAATATGAACACCCTATCATATGTCATTTATTTAGAAATTATCACTGAAGTTGATTTTTTTAAAAAATAAGGTCAATTGTCAAGGTCAAGGGGCAAGAATTCATAGCATGCTCGGAAATATCTTGTCACAGGTAATGCACATGTCAAATATGAAAGTCCTATCTCTTCTCAATATAAGGAACAAGATGTGTTTGTGAAACACAGATGACCTCGTATGGCAACATAACAAAGATTTAACATTTCTTAATTCAAATGAAATATATTTGATATTACCCAAAGTAGGGTTTTCAGACAAGAAATATGATTGTGAAATACAAAATCCCACCCACCTGTTCAAAAGAAAGTTATGGCCAAGGATACATTTTTGAAAGGTAGGTCAGACTCCAAGGTGAAAGGATCTGAGTTGTTGATTTCTTTAAAAAGGTCACAAGTAATACATATGTGAAGGATGAAAACCCTAACCTTAACCGTTTAATAGTTATAGCCAAGGTAAAAGTTTTGGAAAAGTAAGTCAATCTCCAAGGTCAAGGTCAAAGGGTCAAAGTTCTTGGTATCCAATGAAAGGTCTTCTCATAAGAATTACATATGTGAAGTACGAAAGCCTTAGCCCTTACCGTTCAAATGTTATGGTCAAGGTTAAACTTTTTTTTCAAAAGTACGGAAATCTCCAAGGTCAAAGTCAAAATGTCAGAATGGTTGGTATCCAATGAAAGGCCTTGCCACAAAAAATACATATGTGAAATATGTAAGTCCTAGTTTCTACCATTCAAAAGATATGGTCAAGGTTAAAGTTTTTTCATAAGTACGGAAATCTCCAAGGTCAAAAGGTCGAAGTTGTTGGTATCCAATGAAAGGTCTTGCGACAAAAAATACATATGTGCAAAAATATGAAGTCCTACATGTAGTATCTACCATTCAAAAGTAGTGGCCATGGTCAAAGTTTTTGAAAATTAGGTCAATCTCCATGGTCAAGGTCAAAGGGTCAAATTTCTTGGTATCCAATGAAAGGTCTTTTCACAAGGATATGTGAAGTACGATAGCCCTAGCCCTTTCCGTTCAAAAGTTATGGTCAAGGTAAAAGTTTTTTCATAGGTCTCTAAGGTAAAGGTTAAAAGGTCAAAATTGTTGGTATCCAATGAAAGGCCTTGACACAAAAAATGCATATGTGAAATATGAAATTCCTAGTTTCTACTATTCAAAAGATATGGCCAAAGTAAAAGTTTGGATTTTTTGTGTAAAAGTGGGTCAAACTCCAAGGTAATGTGATTCTAGGTCAAAAGGTCAAATATGGTGATTCCTATACCCTTTGTTTGGGGTAAAAAGAAAGGTCTTCTCACAAGGGACACACAAGTGAAATATGAAAGTCATAGCTCCACTAAATCAAAAATAATGGGCAAGGTTAAAGTTTTTGTGACGGACGGACAGACGAATGAGATTTAATGTCCCCTCGTTTTCGTTAAAGCGGAGGACAATAAAGAAGGCAATAAACTGTTATTTTATTCATTATGGTTTTATTTTGATCGGGATTGGTCCAAAATAATTTTTTTTTTTCAATTTGCCATTTCATTTCAATTTCTTGCCAAAAAGACTGAGACTAGTCAAAATTCACATATACTTTGATCATTAGTAAACTTTAAGTGAATCATCGTGCATACGTACAGATATTTCCCCCTAATACCTATCTTGACCTTTCCCAATCCCCAGGGGTCATGATCCAAGCAATTTAGAATCTACACTAGTAACACTACCCCAGGATGCTTCCACAGAAGTTTTAGCTTTTCTGGCCCAGTGGTTCTTGAGAAGATTTTTTTATGACCCCACCCTATTTTTGTATATTCTTGACAATTTCCCCTCGGAAGGGGACTTTATTTTTATAATTTAAACTCCCACTACCCAAGGATATTTTGTACTAAGTTTGGTCAATATTGGCCCAATGGTTCTCAAGAATAAGCTGAAAATGTGAAAAGTTTACAGATGAATGGACAGTCAGACAGATGGACGACGGACAACAGGTGATCAGAAAATCTCATATGAGCTAAAAACTGCAAGGCCTGCTATGTAAATCAAAGGAGAGAAAATATAAAAGAATTTAGATTTTGCATATTGTTATATTTATTTATAATCTAAAACACTAAAAAATAATAATGTTACAATGAGATCACTTTATCTTTTCTAGCAATTTTCAAACTAAAATTAGATATCACTGAGATGGTGGCCATCTCAAAGGGTCCCACTTTCAGCAATGAACATAAAAATGTAAAGTAGCTGAAAGGGGTTTTAACCTTGACTCTTAGCCTAGAACTTTGTTCAAGGTCACTACACATCCATTGACCAGTGGCACTCTGTGAGAGAAGTATTAGCCACATTGGACCAAGGGGAGAAAGCATATGCTCTGGACAAGGATTCACAATAAAAAAATTACCTCCCTTTCTCTTAAACACCCAATTTTATGTTAACGCCCCCAAAATCTACCTGATTCAAGATCAATAATTTACCGTCTGTCAATCATTAAAAAAACAATAGCTTCTGTTTTGATTAACAGGCCAGCTACCTTGTGCTACCTGATAATCTGAGTTTGCATGTTATGAAGACAATTGCCTGGTCACGCGTCAAACACTTTCATGTACCCGCCTTGTATACACGAGGGTTAAAAAACCCAGTAATGTTGGTAATTTTAGATAAAAAAAAATGAGAGCAGATAATTTAATTAAAGACTGAATTCATAAAATATTTGTTTTCAATCTTCAGTTACAAGAATATGTCGTCCGAGATAGAATTAAGACCGTCCACGGAAACTATAATTCCAAACTTTACTTGCCGTAAGTGGAAGTTCATGTACCGTTTAACACTGTTAAAATTATAATTAAAAAATAGAATATAGTAAATAGGATATATGAAATATTCAGCAATACCAGCATGGTATTCAACGATGTTTAATCTCTGTATAAATACAATCTACGATGTTAAAGGAGATATTGTAAAGAAAAATGGAATTATTGCTCGAATTTTCTCTGACATCTGTCTTTTTTCGTAATGAAAAGAGGCTAACGAACAGTAATCGATCTTAAAAGGATATATTTCAAACAATAAAATTTTGTTAGCGCATAAACATGGGAAATAGTATATCTTGAACAATTGTACGGGTAAGAAAAAAATATTCCGAACGCGGTAAATGTTAACACGACGGATAAATGGTTTTTTTAATTTAAATATTCACAATAATTAAATCATGGTGATTTCTTTTATTGAAGATTTAAAAAATATAAGGATATGATTGCTTTGTAGTTTTTACTGTGACCATTTCTTCTTTTTTTTTTTTTTTACAAACAAAATTATAAACGATAGATTTCTTAATTTTTTTTCCTTCCAAAGGTTACGATGAATGCGTTTAGTTTACAAATACATGTAAATTTTACATTGAAATAATTAAATTTAATTAAGTTTACTTAGTAGTTTCACTCAAAATTAGACACGAAACACGTAATGTTGACCTTGATTACCAAACACAGACTTCCTGTGTAATGCTACGTATACACAGATTTTTGACATCTTGTGTGTTGGGGGTCTCCAGGTAAATAACACCACTGTTGTCCACGGTAAAAAAATTGGGTCTTTAAGCTTAGATATTCAGACAAGCACTGATCTACCTCTCTTGATATTTTTGCTTAAAAATCCAATCTTAACTTTTTTAAATTAAAAAATATAATATACAGATACAAAAAAAAAATTCAGAAAAAAATAATGTAGTATATGAAAAGTTGTACAATAATGTAGTAACACAACTTTGAGTGATCTGCTGTGGATGTCATATGAGTTATCCTTAATGAGTTATGTACTCAGCATGGTACACTGAATCCTGAGAATTAAGCTGTTTACTGTGTCCATCACTTTGTAGATATTAGTACATACTCAACTCTGTCCATTGGATTCTGTGAGTTAAGCTATTTAGTGTGTCCATCACTTTGTAGATAACAATGTACTCTGCACGGTCCATTGAATTCTGTCAGTTAAGCTATTTAGTGTGCCCATCACTTTGTAGATATTATAATAATGTACTCAGCACGGTCCATTGAATTCTGTCAGTTAAGCTATTTAGTGTGCCCATCACTTTGTAGATATATAATAATGTACTCAGCACTATCCATTGAATTCTTTGAGTTGAGTTATTTAGTGTGTCCATCACTTGCAGTCCAAACCTTAAATTACTCTCTGCACTATTGTTGAAGCATATTTGTCTGCTATCAAAGAAACATGAAATTGATGGCAGTCTGCCTGTAAAAAAAAGAAATCACAAGGACTCAACATAAATATTAATAAAATCTTAATAAATGAAAACATGAGAATATATTTTTACAGAATAGAAGGATTTTGCAGAGCTTGTACATGTGTCTTACCTTTATTTTCAGGTCCCATAGTTGATCTCTTTGGAGTCTTGAGGAATCATGTTGATCTGCTTTTGGAAACAGGATCAATGCCAGCATAACCGTCTGCCTATTAACAAAAAGACACTAAGAATCCAAGCAATGAGAGAGTCAAAATCTCCTCTAATTCATATAATGCAAGGTCTAGAGCTTTACATGCATCTGATCTGACTAACCATCAATGTTTAGGTTAGACAGTAGTAAGTCTTTACTTTCCACATTCTTGTTAACTGATTGAGATCAGTCTCATCTTCTACTTGTTAACAAAGGAAATCCAAAGATAATGAAAAAAACATGAACAAAAATACCTTGTGCCAAAATGTTCACCTGAGTCACCTTGACTTTGTCATCAAAAGAAAAATTCTTAATTCATATTTTTTTTACTAATCCTAGACCAAAGGGATCATGATGTAACGTAATTTGAAACAACACATCCTCGGGATGCCCTATTGTTATTGCAACACAGTCTTGCTGTTGTGCAGCAGAAGTAAATCCCCCTGGACCTATGATTTGATAAGTGTATAAAGAAAATTTGTAAATTGCAAAAAATAAATTTTTTTACCCACTCCTTAATCAGATATTGGCTGCTGTACAAAGCTTGGCAATAGACTCTTCTTTTTCTTCACTTGGTCAGCACTGGTCCTCTTCCCTTGTCAAATTCCTTGAAAATACTTGATGGAGAGAAGATAAGCAATAATACAAAGCAATGTAATAATCACAGAAATTCAAATGAACATAATCATTACAACATTATTAGCTTGAAAATCAAAAAGCAAATAAAGACAATGAGGTTATGATAGCTAGGAATAAGGTGGAATATTGGGGCAAGGAGAGGAAAGCATAGTTACTTTAGAGTAGGGAGGACAAAGATATGTCAGAAATAATTAAATAAAAAATACTTGTAAGACTCCTGCCTGTTAAAGTGGGTCATGATGAAGTTCCATAGGTAAAAAAGAAGTAAAGTCTGATTCTTACAAGTATTCTCCTGATGGCTGCAGCGGAATGGGAAAGGGACTCTTCCTCACTTAGAATTCCTAGTCAGTCTTAACTTTCTTCTGCTTTTAAAAAAGATAAAACAGAGACATAAAAGGGGAAACACTTGCACTTCATACCAAGTGAGAAGCTTCAGTAAAAAGCAGCTTGTTGCTTACCACTTTTGAAACATAATACCTGCAAAACACAGACAGGAATAGACTTATCTTATATTAATGACCTTGGTCCTCCATTGTTGTTCCTCTTCTGAATCAAAGGGGAACTGAAATCTGTCAATTGAAGGTCCAGATGTTAAAGCTTGGTACAGCCAACATCAATAGGCAAGCAAAGATACAAGAAGTAAAATCTGAATCTTACCCTGCTTTCTGCTGCTGTATGCAGTTCAATGAGAGAGGGAGTCCTCCTCACTTCAGGATCCTGTTCAGCCTTAAAAGTATTCCTCTTAAAAAAGATAAAAATTAACAGACACCAAAAGGGGATCACTTGCACTTCATACCAAGTGAGAAGATTTATAAAATAAACTAGTGGCCAATGGGCAATATGTTCACCTAAGCATATTGGCTAGTAAATGACAAATTAGTCCAGTATTGAAAAGTATAAAATTTAGGAAGAGGAGAAGGGGGCTTGAATAACTACCTGGAGACATTTTCATATCAATAACAATGGCTTAGCTGTTCTTGAACATAAAATTTTTTCCTATACATTCCTTTGTTAAAATTTTATCCCCATTGATGCCCCTCCCTGCCCCCTGGAATCAAGATTTGGACAAATTTGAATCTACACTACCTAAGGATGCTTTCATATCAATATGACTATATATGGCTTTGGTATTATTGAGAAGACGTTCCTTATATACTCTAAATCACTTAATTTTCGCGACACCTTATTTTCGCGAGATAGTCAATGACTCTTCATTAGCGAGACAAAATTTTCAAAATTGTGGTCATTGCTCTATGTAATCTTAAGGAATTATATAATACGCAAGAATGAAATTTTTGCGACCATACTGTCTCGCGTAATAATGTGAAAATAAAGTTCTCGCGAATAAAAAGTGATTTACAGTATTCCCCTGTCCACTTTGATCCAACACTGGGGCCCTGCCCTACACCTGGGAGTCATGATTTGAACAAACTTAAATCTACACTACATGAAGATGCTACCGTATACATATCACCAGTCATGACATATTTGTTTCTGAGAAGATTTCTAAAAATATTTCCAATATAATCCAATGTAAAACTTTGATTGTCCAATGTGGCCCAAACCTTTTCCCGGTAGACATGATTTGAACAAAATGAAATCTTCACTACCAAAAAGGATGATTTGCTATCAATATAACTAATTGTGGCTTGAGAAAAAAAAAGTATATCCTGACATGCTGTAGATTCCTAAATATGTGCGTGGAATTAATTTTCACGTAATTTCGTGAAAAGCACCACACACACAATTAAATTACTCGCCTTTATTTATATGGCGCTGAAATCTATGTAAAATCTCTTAACCAACCATGCATTTGCGAATTATTATTCTTGTGATTTGACGGTGAAAAGCCTATTCGCGATAATTACTCGCGAAAAATAAGGAATCTACAGTATTATATATATTTTTGATCCCCTATTCTGACACCAACATGGGGTCTTGATTTGACTAATTTTGAATCTACACTACCTGAGGATGATGCCACATATGTGTCTCTTTCCTGTCTCAGTGGTTCTTGAAAAGATTTTTAAAAGATGTCCTTAATTTTTCTCTTATTTGTAGTAATCTTCCATTTGAAGAGGGAGTGGGCCTTCATTTGAATAAACTTAAATCCCATAATGGCATTTATCCAAGGATACTCTTTGCCAAATTTCGTTGAATTTGACCAAAGATTAATATGTGAAATTTTACAAACAAGAGGCCCATGGGCCACATCACTCACCTGAGAAGCTTTGACCATTCTGTTCTTAACCAGATTTCCCCCTTGTAACACATATTTTGACCCCATTCTACCCCACTGATCAAAATTTAGACAATTTGAAATCTACACTACCCCAGGATGCTTCCACATAAGTTTCAGCTTTTCTGGCCCAGTGGTTCTTAAGAAGAAGATTTTCAAAGATTTTTTCTATGTATTTCTATGTAAAACTTTAATTCCCCATTGTGGCCCCGCCCTACCCCCGGTGGTCATGATTTGAACAATTTAGAATCTACACTACCCCAGGATGCTTCCACACAAGTTTCAGCTTTTCCGGCCCAGTGGTTCTTGAGCAGAAGATTTTCAAAGATTTTTCCTATATATTTCTATGTAAAAATTTGATTCCCCATTGTGGCCCCGCCCAACTGCCGGGGGTCATGATTTGAACAATTTAGAATCTACACTACCCCAGGATGCTTCCACAGAAGTTTCAGCTTTTCTGGCCCAGTGGTTCTTGAGAAGATTTTTTAATGACCCCACCATAGTTTTGTCTTTTCTTGATTATCTCCCCTTGTAAGGGGTTTTGGCCCTTCGTTTTAACAATTTAAATTCCCCTTCACTCAAGAATGCTTGGTACCAAGTTTGGTCAAAATTGGCCCAGTGGTTCTTGAGAAGAAGTCGAAAATGTGAAAAGTTTACAGATGGACGGACGGACAGATGACGGACAAAATGTGATCAGAAAAGCTCACTTTAGCCTTTGGCTCAAGTGAGCTAAAAAGATGACAAAGACATAAAATGAACAAAGGTTCACTTCTTTTAAAAACCAGCACTTATATCAATTGATTCTACTACTAAATTGGGTTTGTGATCAGGAGAGATCCTATATGAGATGTTTACCAATGCTTTTGAGACTCATCTTCCCGTGCGTCCTTGCGAACTTAGCCTGGGACAAAATGATACCCAGTATCCGTCTGCTTCCACGTGGAGGCATCGCATAGGACTTGTTGTGGAGAGGCTATGTACTGGCAGGGGAAGTCATTAGAATTTCTTCCCCCTTTTCGCATTGCTGCTAGCCAGCGGTGATGGCTGAAAGCGAGAGGTGACAAGCACACAGACACTAACACCAACACACTAGACGCGTCACACAACATTTAGCAGACGTTAGTAGTTTTAGTAGCTTGTTACTTGTTCAGGGTTCTCCATTGTTTGAAATTTTACTGTGTTGCAGAATTTCACGGTATTTTAGCGATCAAATTTGCAACTGACTCACTTTTCATTATAATTACTTAAGAATACATGCACACAATTTAAAAAAAAAAAAAAATCACCAATTCGTTACAAAAATACATGTAGTATGGTCGAACATATTAGCACATGTTGTGAAATGCAGAGGAAATTCTTGTCTATAAAGTTGAACTACTTACAATTTTTTAAAGCAAATTTGTCATAATTTTTTTGTCAATTTTATTGATCGAATTAAGGAATTACAAAAAAAGAGACTTCGGAATAGTAAAATACTTTTAAAAGTTCCTTGAAAATTGAAAACTATTTATTTACATCAAGTAAATGATTTTGGTACAGTGTTATGTTTGATTTACATTGCAAACATAATTCTAGAGCCATGGCTCTAAAGAAAAGACATTTAAATATATTTTTTAAAATAATACATTTTTTATGTACTTTAATTGCAACTACTAGTACCAATTAAGCGTTACATGGAAGTTTGAAATCCAATTTTTTGTCTTTGTTCCTTCATGCGTCAAGTCCATTGAGGGTCTAGGAAATAATTGATTATGCAAGGTGAAAGCATAATTAAGTGATCTAGATATCGTATAGAATTGAAAGACGGTAGAATTGCTTGATCAATTATGTTTCAGATAGAGAGAATTTGCAATCTATAATTATAATTGTTGTAAGAAAAACTTGCGACAACGGTATCACCTTATGTCACGGAAAAGTGCCTTTCTATTGCACCCCTCCATTTTCAGATCCTAGCTGGAACACTGTGTATGTTTCAATTTTTTTTTTATTATCACAGATCTTACTGTGTCAGTAAATTTTTAATGTGTCGCACAGATAAAATTTGAATCTTTACTGTGTCGGAGAACATTTTTCTGTGTCGGGACCAACACAGTAAAACAGCTCATGGAGAACCCTGCTTGTTAGGGTGTTAATCATGCAAACCTATCCACCACAAGCACTAATCATGCACTAACTAACAAATACCTTAATTACAATAATAACCTACACTCCTCTAAGCTGTCTAACTATCAACTAAAGCCTACTTACTAACTCAAACTACAACACAACTGCACCTACCGGAAATATTATACAAACTACACCTAAGACTAAGAAACACCTTTGTAACGCTACTTACAACTACTATACACCCCATACTTTCTGAATGCAGCAGAAAACACTCCAGACTGACCTTCAGAAGTGGCTATCTCTGCTTCCTGTCAATTCAAACTCAAGAGGTCAAAGCCTGAAAAAGCCAACATCAATTGGAAAGCCATAATATTGGGAAAAGGTGCTCAGAGGTGAAGTATGAATCTTACCGCACTTTCTGCTCATGAACACTGTTAAATGGGAGAGGGACTGCTCTTCACTTCAGGATCCTGGTCAGCCTCAAATTTCTTCTGCTTAAAAAGAGAAAACAAACACATCAAAGGAGAATCACTCACATTCCCTAACAAATGACAAACTTCATTTAAATAATCAATTTGTTATTTACAACCTTGAGCCATATTGGTTGCTGCATAGAGATGGGAAATGGACTCCTCATCCTGTCTTTTGCTGTTGGTCGACCTTGCTCCTCCATCGTTGTTCCTCTTCCGAGTCCCTGAAAGTATAAAACTGGCACAATGTTAGTAAAACTTCAAAAGAATGCAACAAATCACGAAAAGATACTTACCACTTTGGGCCATGTTGGCGCTGCTGTATAGAGATGGGAAATGGACTCGTCATCTCGTCTTCCTCTGTTGGTCGACCCTGCTCCTCCATCGTTGTTCCTCGTCCGAGTCCCTGAAAGTATAAAACTGGCACAATGTTAGTAAAACTTCAAAAGAATGCAACAAATCACGAAAAGTTACTTACCACTTTGGGCCATGTTGGCTGCTGTATAGAGATGGGAAATGGACTCGTCATCTCGTCTTCCTCTGTTGGTCGACCCTGCTCCTCCATCGTTGTTCCTCGTCCGAGTTCCTGAAAGTATAAAACTGGCACAATGTTAGTAAAACTTCAAAAGAATGCAACAAATCACGAAAAGTTACTTACCACTTTGGGCCATGTTGGCTGCTGTATAGAGATGGGAAATGGACTCGTCATCTCGTCTTCCTCTGTTGGTCGACCCTGCTCCTCCATCGTTGTTCCTCTTCCGGTCCCTGAAAGTATAAAACTGGCACAATGTTAGTAAAACTTCAAAAGAATGCAACAAATCACGAAAAGTTACTTACCACTTTGGGCCATGTTGGCGCTGCTGTATAGAGATGGGAAATGGACTCGTCATCTCGTCTTCCTCTGTTGGTCGACCCTGCTCCTCCATCGTTGTTCCTCGTCCGAGTCCCTGAAAGTATAAAACTGGCACAATGTTAGTAAAACTTCAAAAGAATGCAACAAATCACAAAAAGTTACTTACCACTTTGGGCCATGTTTGCGCTGCTGTATAGAGATGGGAAATGGACTCGTCATCTCGTCTTCCTCTGTTGATCGACCCTGCTCCTCCATCGTTGTTCCTCTTCCGAGTCCCTGAAAGTATAAAACTGGCACAATGTTAGTAAAACTTCAAAAGAATGCAACAAATCACGAAAAGTTACTTACCACTTTGGGCCATGTTGGCGCTGCTGTATAGAGATGGGAAATGGACTCGTCATCTCGTCTTCCTCTGTTGGTCGACCCTGCTCCTCCATCGTTGTTCCTCTTCCGAGTTCCTGAAAGTATAAAACTGGCACAATGTTAGTAAAACTTCAAAAGAATGCAACAAATCACAAAAAGTTACGTACCACTTTGGGCCATGTTGGCGCTGCTGTATAGAGATGGAAAATGGACTCGTCATCTCGTCTTCCTCTGTTGGTCGACCCTGCTCCTCCATCGTTGTTCCTCTTCCCAGTCCCTGAAAGTATAAAACTGGCACAATGTTAGTAAAACTTCAAAAGAATGTAACAAATCACGAAAAGTTACTTACCACTTTGGGCCATGTTGGCTGCTGTATAGAGATGGGAAATGGACTCGTCATCCTCTGTTGGTCGACCCTGCTCCTCCATCTATGTTCCTCTTCCCAATCCCTGAAAGTATAAAACTGGCACAATGTTAGTAAAACTTCAAAAGAATGCAACAAATCACGAAAAGTTACTTACCACTTTGGGCCATGTTGGCTGCTGTATAGAGATGGGAAATGGACTCGTCATCTCGTCTTTCTCTGTTGGTCGACCCTGCTCCTCCATCGTTGTTCCTCTTCCGAGTCCCTGAAAGTATAAAACTGGCACAATGTTAGTAAAACTTCAAAAGAATGCAACAAATCATGAAAAGTTACTTACCACTTTGGGCCATGTTGGCTGCTGTATAGAGATGGGAAATGGACTCGTCATCTCGTCTTACCCTGTTGGTCGACCCTGCTCCTCCATCGTTGTTCCTCTTCCAAGTCCCTGAAAGTATAAAACTGGCACAATGTTAGCAAAACTTCAAAAGAATGCAACAAATCATGAAAAGTTACTTACCACTTTGGGCCATGTTGGCGCTGCTGTATAGAGATGGGAAATTGACTCGTCATCTCGTCTTCCTCTGTTGGTCGACCCTGCTCCTCCATCGTTGTTCCTCGTCCGAGTCCCTGAAAGTATAAAACTGGCACAATGTTAGTAAAACTTCAAAAAAATGCAACAAATCACGAAAAATTACTTACCACTTTGGGCCATGTTGGCTGCTGTATAGAGATGGGAAATGGACTCGTCATCTCGTCTTTCTCTGTTGGTCGACCCTGCTCCTCCATCGTTGTTCCTCTTCCGAGTCCCTGAAAGTATAAAACTGGCACAATGTTAGTAAAACTTCAAAAGAATGCAACAAATCACGAAAAGTTACTTACCACTTTGGGCCATGTTGGCTGCTGTATAGAGATGGGAAATGGACTCGTCATCTCGTCTTCCTCTGTTGGTTGACCTTGCTCCTCCATCGTTGTTCCTCTTCCCAGTCCCTGAAAGTATAAAACTGGCACAATGTTAGTAAAACTTCAAAAGAATGCAACAAATCACGAAAAGTTACTTACCACTTTGGGCCATGTTGGCTGCTGTATAGAGATGGGAAATAATGGACTCGTCATCTCGTCTTCCTCTGTTGGTCGACCTTGCTCCTCCATCGTTGTTCCTCTTCCCAGTCCCTGAAAGTATAAAACTGGCACAATGTTAGTAAAACTTCAAAAGAATGCAACAAATCACAAAAAGTTACTTACCACTTTGGGCCATGTTGGCGCTGCTGTATAGAGATGGGAAATTGACTCGTCATCTCATCTTCCTCTGTTGGTCGACCCTGCTCCTCCATGGTTGTTCCTCGTCCGAGTCCCTGAAAGTATAAAACTGGCACAATGTTAGTAAAACTTCAAAAGAATGCAACAAATCACGAAAAATTACTTACCACTTTGGGCCATGTTGGCTGCTGTATAGAGATGGGAAATGGACTCGTCATCTCGTCTTTCTCTGTTGGTCGACCCTGCTCCTCCATCGTTGTTCCTCTTCCGAGTTCCTGAAAGTATAAAACTGGCACAATGTTAGTAAAACTTCAAAAGAATGCAACAAATCATGAAAAGTTACTTACCACTTTGGGCCATGTTGGCGCTGCTGTATAGAGATGGGAAATGGACTTGTCATCTCGTCTTCCTCTGTTGGTCGACCCTGCTCCTCCATCGTTGTTCCTCTTCCGAGTTCCTGAAAGTATAAAACTGGCACAATGTTAGTAAAACTTCAAAAGAATGCAACAAATCACGAAAAGTTACTTACCACTTTGGGCCATGTTGGCTGCTGTATAGAGATGGGAAATGGACTCGTCATCTCGTCTTCCTCTGTTGGTCGACCCTGCTCCTCCATCGTTGTTCCTCTTCTGAGTCCCTGAAAGTATAAAACTGGCACAATGTTAGTAATACTTCAAAAGAATGCAACAAATCACAAAAAGTTACTTACCACTTTGGGCCATGTTGGCTGCTGTATAGAGATGGGAAATGGACTCGTCATCTCGTCTTCCTCTGTTGG